GTAAAAGAAAATTTCTTTCCTTGTTATGCAATCCCTCCCCTGAAGTCCACTCAACTATGCAGCCTTTGTTTTGAAAAGTAAAAGAAAATTTTTTTTTCATTGTTGTACAGTCCCCACCCTCAAGTCCACTCTATTATTCATGTACAAGGGTTTTTCCCCCCAGACTATTGTTGTAAATTTGAAGCAGTTGAAAAGTAAGGAGTATGTACACCTTAAACGGGTGAATTATACTGTTCACAGTAACAAAACTACCCTCCAAATATCCATTATTCAGAACAAAAAAAATACATCTCTAGGTGGTTTACATTTATAGCTAGGTTTGGGAAATAGATTGTTGGCATAACAACTTTGAATCTAGCTTTAGTAATTTAAATTTCTGTTTCATCATACGTAAAACAGGAGGTAATAACACTTGTTGTTATTATTGTATTATTATTGTTGTTGTTAAGTGCCATCAAGTCGCTTGTGACTCATAGTATACTTGTGTACAACAGCTCTGAAACTCACTCTATGCTGTGTCAACCTCATCTTCGACACTTCTACTCCATTACCCCAGTCACTGAATCAATCCATCTCACCGAGTGTCTCCCTCTCTTGCACTGTCCCTCCACCCTCTCAAACACGAGGACCCTCCTTGCAACATATCAGAGCTTCAGAATCTTTGCCTCCAAGGAGCAGCCTGGTTTCACCCTCTCTAGGATGAAATACTGTTAATTTGAAGTGTGATGGTGTATGAACAAACAATAATCTAGATGTTTATTAATATATAATATTGTTACAGTATCATATATTTTATAAATATAGTAGTATGTTGCTGTTGTTACATACTGTTGAATCAACTGTAGGTAACAACCTAAAGATGACCCTATGAATAATGGCTCTGAGCCTCGCCCTATCTTGAACCAATCGCACTGTCTCTAACAGACCTGAGCTCACTGCCACAGTCATTGTGTCGAAAGATCTCATCTGGGGTCTTCTTCTGCTGAACCTCTACCCTTTCAAACATGATCTCCATCTCCAAGAACTGATCCATCCTGGTGATGTGCGCAAAGTATGTGAGATAGCTTTTCAAAATCCTTGCTTCCAAGGAGCAAACTGGGTTCACCCTCTCCAGGACAGACCTCTTTGTTCTCTTGCCAGTCCACGGTATGTTCAATATCTAGCACCATAACTCACATGTGTCTTCTGTCATCCTTTTTTATTGTCTCGCTCTCAGATGTAAGCAAGCAATTGAGAAGACAATGGCCTGGATCAGGCACATCTTTGCCTTTAGACTGATATATATCGTTACTCTTTAGTACTCAAGGGAAGTCCCTGACAGCAGATTTCTCTCAATGCAGTTGATCTTTTTATTTCCTGAGTGATGGGGCCAGCCAAGTGTGTCAATTGTGGATCCAAGCAAGATGAAGTCATTAGCAATCTCAATCTTTTTTCCATCTAGCATAATAATAAGTTTAATACAGGAGTTGATGAATAAACAATAATAATAACAACTCATTATTTAGTGTGGATAATATCATTGGAGAAGCTCATTATCAGTACTCAAAACCAGGCTAGGTGCTAACTGTGGAACAGACCATATCTAAGTTCAAATTGAAGAGGAAAAGGATTAAGGCAAGTCCATGGGAACCAAAATATGACCTAAAGTGTATCCCACCTGAATTTAAAAACCATCTCAAGAATAGGTTTGAGGCACTTTACCCTAATGACTGCCAAATAAGTTGTGGGAGGACATCAGAGATGTCATTCATGAAGAGAACAAAAAGATTATTACATAGGCAACAGAGTAAGAAAAGACCAAAATAGATGTTAGAAGAGACTCTAAAAATTAGAGTTGAAAGCAAAGGGAAGAGATGCAGAAGAAAAAGAGATGAAGAGAGGATTTCAAAGGGTAGATCAAGAAGACAAAGCAACGTATTATAATAGAGTGGGCAAAGAGCTCTAGTTAGAGAACAAAAAGGGAAGACTATTTTTTGGCATTTTGCAAGCTGATAGAACCGATAAACAGCTTCAAGTTTCAATACTGAGAGATGTTATGGCAAAATCTTGAATGATCCAGGAAGCATCAAAAAAGATGGAAGGAATACACAGAGTCACTGAAGCAAAAAGAATTGGCCAACATGGGCATGATGAAGAGCCAATGATAATGAAGGAAGAGATTAAAGCTGCATTGGCATTGGCGTTGGCAAAAAGTGAGGCGCCAGGAATTGATGCAATATTAGTTGACATGTTTCACCTAACAGATGCTGCACCAACCTGTACCAATGTTTACAGCAGCGTTATTCACCATCACAAGGACATGGAAGCAGCCAGATGTCCAACTGCAATCGAATGAATTGAGAAATTATGGTACATTGACACAATAGAATGCTACTCAGCACATAGGAGCAATGATTTTGTAAATTATAACCTAACTTGGGAGAGACTAGAGAGCATTAAGCTGCATGAACTAACGCAGTCGCATAAGGACAAATACTGTATAGAATCATCATGGTAGAACCCAATTACTAAATGGGCAAAGGACATGGAAAGAATTTTCACAGAGGAAGATATTTGGATGGCAAACAAACACATGAAGAAATGCTCCAAATCACTGGCAATAAGAGAGATGCAAAGCAAAACCACATGAGGTACCATCTCACTCCAGTAACAGTGGTAAAGTTTAACAGGACAGAAAGTAATCGATGTTGGAGAGGATGTGGCGAGAAAGGAACTCTTATACATTGTAAAATGGCACAGCCTCTCTGGAAGGCAGTTTGGCGCTTCCTCAAAAAGCTGAACATAGAAATTCCACATGACCCAGCTATTCCACTACTTGGAATATACCCTGAGCATATGAAAACTGAGGCACAAACGGAGATTTGTACACCAATGTTCATAGCAGCATTATTCACCATCTCAAGAACATGGAAACAGCCCAAATGTCCAACCACAAACAAATGAATTGAGACATTATGGTACATTCACACAATGGAATACTATGCAGCACGCAGGAGCAATAACTATAAATTACTACCTAACTTGGGAGGGACTAGAGAACATTATGCTGAGTGAACTAACTCAGTCCCACAAGGATAAATATTGTATAAGACCATTATTGTAGAAGGAGAATAAGGATCCAGGAGGTTTGGGAGAGGGTGGAAGCAGAAGGACGTGGATGTTCAGGGGGAAGAGGGGATTAATCATTGGGTTGTACAATTTGATGGGTGAGGGGGTGAGGGAAATTAAAAGAATTTGTTCAAATTTGTATTAGAATTTAGTAAATAAACTAGTAGAGAAAAAAAATGAGTATGAGAATATAAGAGCAGGGGAGGGTGGAAGCAGAGGGGTGAGGATGGGAGAGGTCACACAATTTGATGGGTGGCTCTGGGGGGTGCCAGCCCTATACAGGTCCTCGTTCTTGTGCTTAGATGTCACGTAGCCCTGCCAAGGATAAGATACGGGTGCTCCATTCACAGAATCATCATGGTCTGGGGAACAAGGCCTAATAGAATGAAGTCTAGGGAAGATGTGTGGCCCACTTTAACTAAGCAGGATTTGGGGGCACCTCTCTTTTGTCTTTTGTGAGACTCTCTGACTACCTGTAAGCCTGTGTCCTACCATTACCATTCTGTTCTTTGTGATGGCACTTTTAGATTTACAAAGTTACGGTGATTAAGAAATCTGGAACTTGCCCTCCAAGTAATTCCTTGGTTAAAGAATTTTGGAAATGACTGCAATCAGGTTAATAGAATTTTAAGTACCTAAGAAAGCCATAGATGTGAATAATTTATTTTTATCTAGAAGGGAAAAAAATATCCTCTGTTCTGCAGGAATCTCATTTATTTGGATATGCAGGCATAGGAGAGAATGATTTCAGGGGGCGCGAGGGGGGGGAAACTCTTGTAAAACCAGCAGGGAATGCAAGCCACGCAGGGGATTAACGAACTTGGTCTGGAAAGACTGTCCTCATCAAATGAAAAAGATGTCAAATATAAGCCAAGTATAAATTGCTTGTGCACACATGATGTGTGCATCTTGCTTGGATGAAGCTGGTTTAATCTGGATGTACAATATTAATGAGTGTGTTTCTTACGGTTGAACACATTAGTACAGAGATTCATAATGTAACAATTGTCCTATTTTTTATGGAACCATTTGAAGAGACCAAGACATTCAACTGTCAGTATTTGGACTGACTTGCATGACCTGCCCCCCACCACAAAACCCAGCATCACGACGCAGGGTATTTCCCTTTTTTGGCTCTTTTTTTAACTGCTCCTGGGATTTTAAGTAGATGCCATGGATTACAACTCAGAAGAGGATAAACCAGTCTTCTCCACTAATTCAGTGCATAGAAAAGAAGAAAAGGGAACGGGGGCGGGGGCATTTCACAATTTATGAACATATAAGACCCGGTACCTTATTTCAAAAAGTGGGAGCTTTTTATCTCTTTTTTCAAGAGTAGAGACAGAGCTGGTTGATCTAGTGTGGGGAAGAGGTGTTTGTGGGGAAGAGGTGTTTATGGCAGATGGTGATTTGGCCCTCTACCTCCCAGCCTGGCTCCTTCCTGCTCGGAGGACGGGTCACTATGGCCTTTTGGGGCGCAGCAAATCCCAATGAGGGCTGATTTATTGATTTGTCTGTTTGACTCTCTGCCTATCTTTTGTTTATTATTTGTATCCTTGCATTATCCACTCCCTGCAAAGGGTTTGCTAGCTCTTCCAATGACTGGAAGATTTGTAATAAAAATAGAACCATTAGAACATAGGTAGCATTGGAAGTTGGCACAGGTAGGCGCACCAGAAGACTATTTCTATTTAAAAAAAAAAAAGCCAATGAAGAGGGATGCTCCGATAAGTGAGCCCCAATTTAGCCGTGAATTTCCTTGGAGCTGAGATAAAAAGGCAGCAAGATAAACACTCTTCTGCTACGCCCTCTGTGCCACCACCACTGGAAGGGTAGGACAGCCCTTCAGCAAATGTGCTTTCCACAGGCCTCCCCTGCCCTCAGATACTTACCAGATAAGATCGACGCCACGGCTGCGATGATGAAGGACACAATGACGCCAGGTCCTGCCATCTCCTTAGCCACGAGGCCCGACACCACGTACATACCCGTGCCCACACAGCTCCCGACTCCGAGAGAGATGAGGTCCACGGTGGTCAGCACCTGGGCCAGCTTGGTGCCATGTGTAGTGGCAGCCCCAGTTCCCCCCAGCATGGACTCCACTGGTTTGGTGCGCAGGATTCTGGAGTACATGGCATGCCAGGCGGCTCCCCACTGCACCCGCCGGGGGTCCAGGGAGGCGAGGAAGCCACTCATCTCGAGGGATGGAGGCTTCGGTGAAGGTCGGCTGATCAAGAGGGCTCTGGAAGCCTTACTGGGTGGTTCTGGAATTCATCTAGTGAACCGGGATCTTCTTTCTAGGAAAGGTCCAGAGGGACCCAAAGCAGTCTTCCCCTGGGCATGAACGTCTGCAGGTAAAACACAAGGAAGGAGAGAAGGAGGTCAAGAAGGGAGAGGTCTGCAGGCAAAGCACAAAAAGGAGAGAACAAGGTCAAGTGGGAAAGATAGACTGACTGGGAAACACAGCTGGAAGCTAAGGTACTAAACTGACAGTCTGCCCTGTACTCTCATAATACAGAAACGGCACTTTGTAAAAGAAACCTGCGCCCAAGCATTCCCAGCAGCCCTGTGCTGATATGTCTAGAAGATTTATATGTACAGGAAGTATCAGCCCATCTAATCTACTAATATTATTAATTAATACTACTTATCACTTAATGTAACACTTAGCCGCCTCTAAAAGCTTTGCGAACATAAACTAATTAGAAGAATCAGGTGAAAAGTGACAATTTGGAGCTGAGGGTTTGGGTGACACCCTGACCGGCTTCATTTCCTCCTGATTTGACAACGTTGCCTTGTGTTGTGCTTTTTTATTCTTGACAGGCATTTAAATACCACTGTGGTTAGATTGTGTCATTGTATATGCCCATGGCATTTAAAAGATTAGAATGTCTGCATTTATGTCATATTTGTGAGAAAATGTCTCATGTGTACTAGGAAAGATGTAAGGATTACTATTTTATTTGAGGTGCTGATGTTTTGTGGGGAAATTTGTGGACTCATATACTTAATTTCAACTTACTTAGCGTGTTTTGCAGGAACCCTGGTGTCATAGTTTTACTTTGTGACTGTGTTGGTGTGTTAACTGGAAAGTCCTCAGTTTGAATTCAGCACTCACCCTTTGGAAGAAGTGAGAGGCTGTCTGCCACTCACCATGACTTGGAATCAACTTGAAGATGTGATTTTGTTTGTTTGTTTGTTTGTTTGTTTGTTTTTAATCAGGCAACCTGTCATTACACACCAGGAAACATTTTAGGCTTGGGGATGCTCTGATGGAGTTCTAAAATTGGAGATGATGCAAGTGAAAGGGTTTTTAATTTTTTCATTGCAAAGTTTGTTTTTTGTCATTATTTTAATAACAAGGTCTTAGTATGTCTATTATAGAAAACCCAGATAATAGAAACAGAAAAGAACTTGTGTAATACCCATCATTAAAGCCTGATTTATATTTTTAGAGCCCTTTCTAGATATTTTATTGCCTTCAAGTTGGAATGGACTCATTTGCTGACTTTGCCACTGGGTTTCCAAGGATCACACCAGAGGAAGCTGTCCACCTTTCTCCCAAAAAACAGTTAGTAGATTTGAACCATCGGCGAGGTGTGGCTTTTAGGTTAGCAGAAAATACCCCCGTGAACCACGCCACCAAAGTTGTGCCAAAATTTAACGTATATAATATA